TCATTGGATGAAACATCTACTTTGGCAGTCATATTTGGAATGATGAGTTATCGCCTCGTAGGCTTGGTAATTAATGCCAAACATACCTTGCGGGCTTTCAGTGAAGCGAGGAGAAACAGCATAATTCGATAATGTTTTATTTTATGAATGAAAGCTAAGGGGGATTCTGTGGAATATATTTTAAATAACCTACTGATCTTATTAATAGTTTGTTTATATTTGGTTAAAGAGTAAATTTAAACTGTTAAAAGTACGATAATTGTTTTGCAAGAAAAAGTGTTTACACAGAAAGTCACTTTTGTACTATGTACTATGTCACTATGTACTTTTTCGTCATTCCTGTTAGAAAGAATCTGTTGTGTAAATTTCCATAGCGCATTATTTGATACAAGTAAAGGAATATTAAAAAATAAACCAAATAAAAACATTCAATAAACATTTAAGGGCGTCGGATATTCTTTTTACTTAAGTTATGAGAAAGCATAACTAAAATTATATTTTATTCAATTATGCGCCATTTTAATTGTAACGCTTTTCGGAATCTTGAATCATAATATTGCGACTGGTACTTACTACAAAGAGTACAAACCAGTAAATAAAAATAAGAAACAAATGAGCATTAAAAAAAAATAAGAAAAAATAAAGGTGTCAAATTTTTAACACCATACCCGAAGGCGAAAAGCCAAAGTCATTCAACAAAGTGAAAAATAAGTCCGTGCAGGGCAAAGTTTGTAAAAGACACGAACAGAGATAGAACACGCAAACTAGAAATCTGAATTTCTCCCCGGATTCTGCATTGACTTTTGCAGGCTTTTTAGTACACCACGCTCATATACAAATAGCAAAGGTGATGAAGCAAAAGTCACCAAGCACAAGATTTTGTAACCCTACATTTCCTGTTTTAACCAATCGGAGCAAGCAGTAGAAGAAATGGTCTGTAGGCTTTGTGAATATGCCGTGCAATAAGGCATATTTTAGATCCTTGACATCCACCATTTCCAGGACTTTCTGTATCTCAGAATTTCAGATGCCGTCGATGAGGTAATGGAGGGACAGTATTTCCCTTGTTTCTGATGGGCAGTCCGAAAAAGCGAGATGAGACCGCCTTTCAAAAATCTGTGGCGAGCTCCTGGAGTATTCTGTTGGGGAGATTTTAACCGAAACCTGCTATAGTCTTTTAAACATTTTCATTAAAGTGCAACTCCAATACATCGGGTAGAGCTTTAAAGTCTAGCCTCTGATTTCCGGGCATACTTTGAAGGATATCCATTGCATCTGCTCTCAGAGAATTGGTGAGGTTGCAGGCCTCCCAGGGGTGTCGACTGGGAGCAGTCTCGCCGTTCTGGCTAAGTCAATAGCTAGACAGACTTGACTTAGGGAGAAAAATTACGTCTTCACAGTGACTAGAACCATCGTTTATTCGGCGGTAGGTACAGGTTGGGCAGGGATCATATGGTACTGTCTTGTCTGCCCCTTGTTTGTAGGGACGTTACATGGTCGGATATCAAAGGTTGTCCTTGGAGGTTTGGCTCCTTTTGGTAAACACTGGAGGACGGTCGATGTCTATATATGACTTTGTTCCCTTAGTGGTGGATTCGTTGCTACAAAGGACTCCACCTTTGACTTGTGCGCTTATAACCCAGACTGTATGAAACTGAAACATTTAAGTTCCCCTGGGTTATGTTTCCTCGGATCTCCTCTACAGCTTGGGGCATTTAACTGTGTAAAGGCAGCTACGAGCTAGCCAGGTCTGGGTGCCCTTTCCTCCTAGTGTACTGTTATTCGACAGCAGAAACTCTTTGTCCGATCTGTTGCTCGGCAGCAGAAACTCTTTCTTCAATTTCTCCAACTTTACTTTCAACCGTGTCTATTCTGCCTGTCCATGAATATTATTCGAAGAACAGCTTTGAAGCCAAATAAGGGAGAAATAGCGTATTATGGCAGCTTGACTATGTTTGTCATCTGATGACGGACTTCCTTGAGGGAGACAGCTGTGATACTTTTCCATCCTAAGGGATTTTCTATAGTAGCAGATCGGGAAGCGTATTGACAAAACATCATAGATTTTGCCTTTTCCTGTTTAACGCTGTATACCGAAGAGCATTAGCATGAAATTTAACACAAAAACTCTCCATCTTCCGAATCCAAAAATTTCAAAACCAGAACTTGAAGCAGTCTTAAGCTCTTCAAAAGCTGTATTTGCCTTCACTGACCAATTAAATCATGCCTTTTTCCCTCTTTATATGTTGCAGCTGCTCTAGTACAGGCATCAGCAAGCTATGGCATGTGTATCAGATTTGGCATGCAGTAAAACTCTCAGTGGCACTCTATTATCACATAAAGATATATCGCTCTGTATCTTTCTCTGCCTAACTTTTCATGCATTTTCTCGCTTTTCGTTCGGTTCGTCGCAACAATGCACAAGTATGATTTTAATCGATGCACGCTGTGAGCTATAGGTTACTTTTAACTTTACAACACATTCTTTATCTTATTGTGAAAATTTGTATTTAGTTTCATTATTTTGACAATTCATACCTGCATAGTTAATTAATCTGTCCAGTAAAAAAAAAAAGAAAGCCTGATGTTCCTGGTTTTCAAGACTCTTGGACACATGAATATAAATTTGTACATAAAATGAATTGTGTTGTATGTGTGTTATGTTACACATTAAGTTTACAAAGATATTTTCAAACTAAATATTAGTCCACATTTCAGAATTCCAATGAGAAATTTGAAATTATAAAAAAAGCTGTTTCTGGATATACAAATCAACTTAATTTTTTTTTTGTCAAACTATTGAAAACAAACCTAAAGCAACGAATGTAGTTTCATAATTACTCATTGTGTAGTTGCCAAAGGCAAAACTTTCACACATGGCTAATATTTTAAAGCACACATTTTTAAAAGTACTGAAATATTGTCCAGCGACTGACAAATCTACAAACAATATTACCACGAATTCAAGAAATATCGGCTTCTGCATGAACTAATGAAAGACGAATAACTGAAATAGAAGAAAATGTAACAACAAAACAGAATTCTGGATTACAAGAAACTTGCATTTAGCATTGCTCTTGATGTAAATACTGAAGTGAATGATCTGTGCCTTGTTTTGTTATTATCTTTTAATTGTGTTATTTATTTTAATAAATATTTTTAAAAGACACATAATATATGTATAATTTAAATATTTTATTTATACTGATGGAATAGTTATATTTTATTTAATTAATAAATACAGTCAAAAGTCTTTAATCCGGACTCGTCGGGACTTATCAAGCGATTCCGGATAATAGATCATCAATTTAAATCTGGTAAGATGGCATGCAGAAATTATAAAATGAAAAATATGGATAAAGCTTAATATTTATTTGTTTACTTTATTAAACATTTCTTTCAATGTAAGTTGTTTAAGTTGCTTTGTTTTATGTGCTAATACTTTCTCTTTAATTCTATAAACAGACGTAATGTCTTGTTCAGTTACAAAGTTCCGCTGTTCAAGTCCTATAATTGCTGTGTCGAGAATACCGACTAATTTGTCAATCGAAATTATTTCGTTTTCAATAACCTCTCTGTCACTTTCTTCACTATCGGAAGCGGTACATCGAAACATGCTTTCGCTTTGTAGATGCTTGGCAGCTGCAGAATCGGAAACTCTTTTTGACATAATCAAAAGTTCGGGTTTACTTTTTATAAAATTGCTCTAACAGTCTGCAAAAAACAATAAACTGGATCCAATTAGAAGATTAAGGAACAACGCAATCTGCAACATTAACTGAAATAGATAATTTTAGCCTAGCCTATACCGTCCGTTATACATTAAACACGCATGCGTAAAGGTATTATGCGCATGCGCAGAAAGTTTGTAGCTTTGACGTCCGGATTATAGATCATTCCGGAATTAAAGACTTTTGACTGTACCTTAAAATGGTGCATAATTAATATATAATACTCTACATATGTATTCTTGACCTCTATTCCCCAACTCTACATGCTTTGCTGCAGGAATTGTTTCAAATATTTTCTACTGTACAGCACCCTGAATCATATTAGTAGATTGATTTAGCACACCACAGCTACAAGGTTGTCAACTCCTGTTCTACTATCTTCACAAAATATTTCAAGAATGTTTTAAGGTATGAATGTACACACAAAATGAAGCTAATTTCTTTGTTGTTAAAGTTACTACGGCTTAATATAAAATTAATTTCATATATGTACTGGGAACCTATTACAGAAATGAAGTAACAAAATTTTTAATATCGTTTTGCATTTAATATTTGCATGAAATTTGTAATATCACCAGAGGAATACTCAATAATCATCTAGGGGATGGAATGTATGCTTTACAACAGCATAAGTTTTTGCAACATACCGGTTTTTAACTCCGTTGATAAAAAGTGCAAAAAGTGAGCCATACTCCAATGACAGACACTGGTGAAAACAGAGGAAAAAAGAGACTTCTCAAATGGTCAGATCAGTGCTTAACATTCAGGATGATCAGCAGCAATGAATTTGAGCCCTTCACCTGTCCTTAGCAAGAAATTGGGTATATGGAAAGTATGTGCACAGCTAGTACCAAAAAACTCATCATAGAACAAAACGATAACAAAATGAATGCGTCAGAACTTTCTTACTTGCAAACACTCCTTCAGAAATTAAAATGCCACATGAAAAATTATCAATATGGAAACATGGATGCCAAACTAACAGTACTACCAGAGACCAAGTGAAGGTGATCACATTGATGACTTACATCACTGCAACAGAGAGAACTGTGTCTCCAATGATGTGTAAACAGCTCAGACTCCTCATTTGAAGGTGATAACTGGATCTTTTTTTACATACACAGAAGTATGTATCTATAATCTCACTACCTTAATACTAAACCCCATAAATTAAACATGCATAAGGTAAAGACTGTTGCATTAAAAACACAAATTTTAAAAGTATTTGATGTACAAGCTAAAGCTGTTTCATAAAATATATAAAAGACATTAAGAAATTTAAGACTTTACTTAAAACTACAAGCTACACATGTTTACAGAATGCTTCTTTCTTTCATATGAATGAGAATATACAAATGAACATATACAAGATGCATTAAAGGCTATCATCATTGAAAAAAGTAGATGAATTTATGAATCATCATCATCATCATCACTACTAAAATCCTTAACATCTTTACTTCCAGAAGGACCAGGCTCAGGCCTATAGCTGTAAAGGAAATAAAACAATTCTTATTTATGTAATTTAATTCATTACTTTATGTAAGTGAGACATTAAAACTACAGAATTACTTTTATTTCACAATGTAAAACAAAAACTCTATGCAAACTGTTAAAAAAAGTTTGAGCTTACTGAACCCATGCTAAGGCTAGTAACATATGAAAGTTTTTAAATGATGTCACACATCAGCTATATAGTACAAAAGTCCAAGATCCGGATTCATTGAAACTTTGGTGATTCTGGATTTGGGATTTTTCCAGATAATAAATCATCAATCTGGTAAGACAATATGTAGGAATTATAAAATTTAAAAAATGAAAGAGTGGTTTGTGAAATAAATGATTATGACCTTAAGAGAATTAACATTTATTTAAAAAAGGGTCATTATTTATTTGTTTGCTTTATTAAACATTTCTTTCAATGTAAGTTGTTTATGTTGCATCATTTTGGAGCTAATACCTTCCCTTTAATACTATAAAGATAATTTCTTGTTCAGTTAACAATGTTCTATTGTTCCAGTTGTATAATTGACGTTTCAAGAATTCTCACTAAATTGTCAGTCAAATTTTTTTCCCCCCTCAACAACCTCTGGCACTTTCTCCACTATCGGCAATGATATTTTCTGGCTTTAAGAACGTACTAAAGAATTCGGCGTTCATTTAATTGAAAAAAAAAATTTTTTTTTTTTCAATACTTGAGAATATTCACAATCATGGCTCTCATAATATAGGTTACTTAGCAGCCACCATACACTGTATCATTGGCAACTAAAGCCATGTTGTTCTGTTAAATTTTGTCTTGCTTTGCACCCATTTCCCGCAGATGCTTAAGGATTACCTGAGTCCTAAATAAATTGACATAGGCTTAAGGCACATGCTACACATTTTATGGCCCAATGCAGTCTCTGCGGGTAATAAGTTCTGTTGCCATGCACCTTCCTAGATGGTGAAAATTTTGTCATCTCCACACCACCAGGAAATGGTTTTAAGCAAATGAGACTTGTAAAAGCATCATAACATATATATGACTATGCTATAGAACGAACAAAAACTTCTGCCAAACAATGCGATTGGGTGCCAAAAATGGATAAGCATGACATCAGATATAGTCATAACATATTCTCCTTCGTTCAAAGCTATGGTTTCTTGATAAGCCAGATTAGTTTTTTTGATGAAAGATATAAGTTAACTACTACAGTACAAAGTCCAAGATTCGGACCTCAAACAAAGAATATCCTCAAAACCACCAACACTTTTTTGGTATGTTTCACGCATGTGCATTTGATTTTCCTCCCATAATAAAACATGTGGAGAGTCCCAATTCTTAATTTCTAAATTAAGAATTAATTCTTTGACACTAAATAAATACTTCGTTACTGACGAAACATTAATTTAGCATAAATTTGTGTGATCAATAATTTGGGTCCCTAGCTACGTATCTGTTTCACATACATGTCAAACTGAAACATTCTACATAGAAACATCATTGATTTTACACCTACTAAAATTTTATCTCCCTGACGCATACCTGGTGAATCATTATTTATTATATTTTGCTTTCATGGCCGCATACTTATCAACACATGACAACTTGAATAATGACTCATGCAGCGATACCAAAAAATGTTTTTGTGTTAGTAATTTAATAACAAAGAGTATAGGAACCTTTTATGTTGACATTATGCTTGGCATTGATTGCAGATTTAAGTTAAATGCGCTAAGAAATGTTGATGAGGAAAAATTTAACAAACATTTCTTTCCATATGCTAAAAATAGGTTTTGTTACTGATACTCATAGGCTAAAAGATTACATTTAGTGCTATTTGAATTTAAAATAATTGATTTGTTTTTCACATAAAAAACCAGAACCGGCGCCAGAGCTCGTATGGCCGAACCGGGCGACAGAATTTAGGGAAGAGAAATTTTTTGAAGTTTTAAAGAAACACCAAGCAACAGAATTAAAGGATGAAATATTTTTTGGAATTTAGGAAAAGCACTGGGATCCAAAATTTTGGGGTGGCAAAAATTTAGAACTGAGGAAGTTGCTTGGTAGCAGAATTTAGGACCTGCAGAGACTGCATCAAGCTGCAAGATATCTAGCGGCAGCCTTCGATAAGCCTTAAGTATATGTATGAATTAATTTGCTCAGGATTTATATAAGCATGTGGAAGAAATAGGCAAAAGTATAATAAATAACTAATACAATTCAGGCTTAATTGTATCAATGCATGACACAAGCAAGACAAAATTTAACGGAGCAACTTGTCTTTCATCGCCAATCTCATAATACATAGCCAATAATGTATAGCGACCACTGTTAATCTAGGTTAAAATTATACTTTACTCAGTGAATTTCAGTCAATATGGCAAGCTGCACTATTCCTTGACTTTCCGATTTGACCCACCTTATTTTTTGCAGGCTGTTTTTATTATAGCAGTTTTATGAAAATTAAAGTTTCAACGTTCAATTATGTTGAATAGTTTCTAATTCTGAAGCTGTAAGAAGATCTATAATGCAAAAGCATATTTTGATGTCCATTGAACAAAAAGTGAAATTGTTGCAAAAAATGGATAAAGATATATTTGTCTCAAAATTATGCGGGAGTATGGCACTGGAGTCAACTGTATGACATAAGAATACAGAAAATGGAACTTTCTGAATTTTTTGTGGATCCCAACACCCCACTCGAAATGAATAACAGAAAAATTATTCGATATGCTAAAAGTGAAGATCATGACAAAATGATGACTGACAGGGTCAGACAGCCTCGCAGCGAGGGCATGCCATTCACGGGTCTAATGCTTATCGTTCAAGCTAAAATATATCACTAAGAAATGAACTTAAAAACTGAGTGCACATATTTGAAGGGTCGGTTAACCAAATTTAAAAATCACCATGGTATAAGGCAATTAAAAATTTCAGGTGAAAAAGCTTCAGCTGGTGGACTACTTGCAGATGGATTCATTAATAGTGAAAAGTTATGTCTTTAAATTTACAACGCTTATGAAACTGGTCTTTTCTGGCAATATGCATTGCAAAATACCTTGGCAAACCCCTACAGAAAAAGCAAGACTAACAATTTTAGCATCACCAAATGCTGCAGGAACGTATAAGTGTAAATGTTTTGTAATCGGAAAAAATATGTGACCTCGAGCATTTACAAATATTAAAGTTTTCTTTTGTAAATTTTATTACACTTTAGATCATAAATGCTTCATTATTTCATAAAACATGTTTTCAGATTTTAATTCTGTAATTTCTAGATGCCATTTTACTAGTTTTAAACTGATGATCTAATATCTGGAAAAATCCCGAATCCGGAATCACCAAAGTCCCGACATGTCTGGATCTCAGACTTTGTACTGCATTTATCAGACTTTCCCTTGCATTTTGGGAAAATGGTTGATATTTGAAACCTGATATTAAGCGGAATAGCATGCAATGGAGTACTTGCAAATTCAAAAATATGCATTAATTGGGCACAATATGCGATTTTATAGGAAAATATATAAACAATGGCAGTATAATATGAAAAAATGATGATAACTGATTAAGTTTTTATATGCTTATCTGTAACTTGTATCCCTTGATTAACTAAATAAAGAGAGATCAGTTCTTTCACACTTTTGCTGGAATGATTTAAGATGTTTTACTTTCATATGTTTAAGGGCTACGAAAATGTAATGGCATTTCCCAAAATTTTATATAATGTTAAATGCAGGTTCTTATTATTCAAACTGATTAACAAATAAGGTTTTCATAATTTTTAATTGGAAATTTCTACTTCCATTCATCTGGCTTTCCTCCATGAACAGCACTTTTTATCCACTCAACTATCTGGAATTTTTCACATATCCAGTATAAACATTTCCTAAACTTCACCAAACAGATCAAGTTTTTACTGTATTACTATCTTTTTAACATAACTCATTTATTTAAGAAAATGTAACCATATTTTTAAAGAAATAATGCAAATGGGAGCCCATAATATGGTTGCAAGACATCAGTAGTACAAATTTGCTGCCTTTGACACCTCAGTATCACCATTTGCCTCTCTTATAAAGTTACCTTTTTTTATTATTATTGTCAAGTATTTCATTCAGACTTCGGAAGTTTAAATGAACCTTTTTGTAGTAATGTATCCCAAATGCAGCAGTTGCAAAAGGTTCTATTATAAGGAATACTTGTAAGCACTGTATTTATTCATCTGCACTTTTTTTTTTTTTTTTTTCAAGAGCATAAAGATGATTTTAAAAGTAACTCTGATAGCAGAATATAAGTTTCTAATTTCATTTTTACAAAAGAGGTCTTAAATTCCTCAAAAATATTCTTCTCCATTTCTCCCACCACGTTTTCACTTTATTAATATCGAAGTGAATCACGTAATACGAAGGCATGCCGTTTCCCTTATCCATTTTTATGTTTTAAGCTCTTGTAATCACAAATATTTCATTCTTCATTTAACTGCATGAACATATTCTAGCTCATTTATATATATATATAAATAAAAATTTAATGCAAAAATTTGAATAGAAAAATATAAAGATAACATGACTATAATCAACACAACCCTTGGTTTCAAAGTATGAGAATTATTGGAATTTTACCTCACAATCAGTTCAGATTATTTTAGACTAATGATGTTTGTTGAATGCGTTAAACTGGTTGTACTATTATCAGGATCTTGTGAGCATTCTCATTTGCTAATGTAAAAAATACTACAGCAGAAGTATAAAAAAACTGACACAACTGAGCAATACACCTTACATGTGCTTCCACTGCAATTTTAATTTGTGCTGAATTTACTTCCACTAGCCATGTATTTTTTAATTAACAACATTGTGCATCAATCAAGAGATATTTACATGTTAAATATCATGATTACTAAACAATTTTCTAGAAGCAAGGGATCACATGGCATAAAATATGGACTAGGTTCTAAAGAATAAACAACGCAGAAGAGTTGATTAAAAGTGTTGAAAATAACTATGTCTCCGATTCAATAATTTACAATGACTAAAAAAATTAAAGGATAACTGATAAAAACCAGTATTCAAAAGAAATTCCCTAAACTAAGAGCTCTTGAGAAGCTCAAATAAATATATGATTCTGATATTAATTTTTTAACAAGGCAGTAAATCATTACTCAAAAAAAAAAAAAAAAAGTATATATAGACTCAAGGCAAAAATTTAATAAGGGGTATGATTTCCCTTGTTAAAAATAAAAGTGGAAATAATTGTTCATTCTGCTTGTGGGAGGTCTGAAAAGATTTTATGGATGCAAGGTCCTCTGCTTTTTCAGCACAAGCATTATTTCATTCTTCTAAAAATGATTGGATTCTTCTAAAAATCTGGGCATCTAAAAAACCAATCTCAAAGAAGTTTAAGCCCAGAAGTGAACAAAGCATTTCATCACACATATTTTCCAAATGCTCAAAGTATCGCTCAGTGAGACTACGCATTGTTGTCATTAGAAGAAATTAATCATTAACAAATCCTTTATAAAGATTCACGTGCATTGTTTTCATTACAAGGAATTCCTTGTTAGCATTTAACGATTCATCGTTATCCTATAAAGTTTCACATATGAATCATGGATTGTATCATAATTCTCTGAGCATTTAAGGAATAACCTTGACATATATAAGTTTGTGTAGCAATCTAATATCATGCTGTAACAAACCTTAGTTCTTCTCCCTTTCAAACATATATATATCATTCCTTAATGCTGCAGGGAATAAATCTTGTATTTATACATTCAGCTTTCTCCGAGTAAATTTAAGACTCTCTTTTACACAAAATATAGAACAAACTTTAATCAAAAAATGTATTACATTCTATAGGACTCTAATTATAATGATCTCTACACCATTTCAAATGCATTGTCTAAATGTGACTGAAGTGACCAGAACACAAACAACTGGTGCCCTTGCATGCATGCCTCATTTCTGCAGTTTATTACATTCAATAAATTTTCTATTCCAGTAGATAAGACAAACTTCCAACCCTTCTGTTATGCTGATTTGCATTAAGTTTCTCTTTGTTATTAAAAGTATAAAATGGTTGTCCAAACAGGTTCTGGCTCATACATGACTGATCTAAGCAACAAGACTTTCCATCTTGCTAAACTGTTTCTACAATTTACATATTGATATTTTGGATTATACTTAATTTATTTGGTCACCTTCTATTCTTTCAATCATAAATCACTTTTCAAAAACACATAAATGCTTTCTTCTGGATGTATTTAAACACACAAGCATCAAAATTTATTATCACCAAAAACACATTTAAAACAACAGTTACCACCTTTTTCCGTGCTATGCACTCAGCATGCATATTCTGGTGTTTACAAGAACTTTCTAAATCCTGATTATATAAAAAATTTCAAACTTTGCTAAATTTTATACATAATCATCCAATAAAATGAAGTTTCTTTCTTTAATTGTTCATATCAATGAACAGTCTGTTAATGTTAGTGATAAACTGACAATATAATGATAATTTTTTAATAAATTTTGCATTTACTCTATACTTTAGAATCAAGATTAAGAAATTATGAGTAACTGCAATTTCAAGCACGCCTGAAAAGAGTAAAGTCACAGAAATAACAGTGAAAGAACACAGAAATCATTTTAGCCACAGAAAACAGTTACAGCAGAACATATTATAATACATTTAATTCTGCTTAAATTTCTTAAGAAACATGATACTTAGATTGGTATATACAATCTTGAAATGATCGATAATTTCAGCACAGAAGATTGAAAATAACATAAAATACTAAAGGTCATTGACTTTATTCAGATTTCCCACAGCAAAAAGAAATTATCCAGGACAGTGCAACTGGTATACATCCTTAAAATACTGCACTCTAAATTGCAAAATACTTGTTGATTTGGCAAAGCAGTCACACTGATGTAGATTAATTCATTTGCATGAGTGAAGAGGAGATTTAAATTGATTTTTTGTCATATTTAATTACAATTTTGTATCATTAATGTGGAAAAAATCAGTTTATTTTTTTACATAAAAATTTTTATTTATTATAATTATTTTTTTACATAAAAAAATACTAAGAATTTTTTAAGTAAATTCACTGGACAGAAAAGTGGTCACCTAGAACACAAACATGCCTGATGATGCATAATAATACAGAGACAGAACCAGCTAGATCAGTGTTTCCCAGCCTTTTTTGAGCTATGCCCCACTAAATTCTCTCTAAAATTCATATGCTCTCCCTGGCATATACATAATTTTTAATGTTCAAAAAGTGTCCATGAAAGAAACTTCAATGATAGCTTTTAAGAAGAAATCACTCGGAAGTTTTGTGAGCAAACACAGTAAGTAAACATTCAAAACATATAAAGGAGAACTGAAATTCAAGTATAAAATAATTTTAATAAAAGTTTTTCCTGTGTTATTTTAGTAATTATTTATTATTTTAATTTAGTGAGATCCTTGCGCTTGATTGCGCTGCAAAGAGATTATATGTCAGGTTGTAATTTAGTTAACTTCAGTCTCAAGTCTCCCCGTTTTTATTACAGCCAACCAATTTCTTTTTTTAGCAACAGATCATTTATGGCACTACATCTGCATTCAACTAAATATGAAGATGGAAATGGCCATTGTTGCCATTCAAGGGAAGAAAAATATAGCTGGTCCCGTTCCTACAGTAAAAAATAAAATGAAGTCGTTGCCTGACATGCGTAAAAAATGTCTGGAAAGCATAACGTGCCAGCTATTTAAATGCTCTTTAAAAGCATTTAAATGTCCATGCCTACAGTGAAAATTCTTTATAAAATATTTAAAATGCACCACAATTTAAAAACTTTTACGTATACATCACTTACATTATTCTTTATTTTGGGGAATAAAAAATAAAATTTTCACTCTTGAAGAATTGAACGTACCTTGTCCTCTTAAACTCGAAAAGTTAAGGGGACAAGGGACATTCAAATTGCCCCCCTGTGGGGCATGGACCCTACGTTGGGAAACACTGAGCTAGCTGATTTAAAGAAGCATCAAGCTTTAGATGTAAAAATATTCAAGAAGAATAATTCCACTACTGTAATACAGCAAGTTTTTCGATGATATTTTGAATGGAATGAAAAGGTTTTGCCATGACTAATAGATTTGAATTTGATCCCATAATTCAGGTCTAGTGCATTCAGTCAACAGAAGCCTGTTGATCACCATTGAACTACATGAACATCAGGTAAAGTATGCAAAATGACAGAGCACAGCCCTCATTGTACTGCTCATTGCCCTTCAGTTGTCTTACACTTAATCCCTAGATTCGTTTAATACACCTGGCATGAGGTTCCATCCCTTTAAAATTCAAATAGTGCAATGATTCTTTGCCTATCATTTCAAATCAGCGGAGTGAATTTTGCAAGAAACTGTTTCAAAGGATTGGGGGGGGGGAATCCTGGATCACCTGATAACGTCCAAAGAAACTCATTTTTATTTACATGGATAAATCAACAAACAGAATGTCAAGTACTGGGCAGTAGAGTTCCCATGCATGTTGCATTAGAAGCCACTGCACACATACAGTGTTGTGAGTCAATGCATTTGGAGTGACTGGTCTCTACTTTAAAAATGCTAATAGTCGTTCTATCACAATCATATAAGATAAGTGGTGCTGTTGCAAGAATTTCTAAATGAAAACTTCGTCAGCAGTGTGTAAACACAAATCTGGTGTAGTTGCAACAGGACGTGTGGCGCTACCACCTGCATGGTCCAAAATTCAATAGCTATCATCGAAGAAATATTTCAAAAATATGTCATCTCTCATTTTGGAGATACTGAATGGCTCCTCTATGCTTACCTGATTTATCAGCATGCAATTTTTTTAATAGGCTATTCTAAGAATAAGACCTACGTATACCGACTTCATACTATACAGGGTGCTCAGAAAATATTTGGTAAAAATGTAAAGGCAGAAAGAGGAGACCAAAACAAGTAGATTTTGTAATAGAATGTTTGTGCCAAAATAGTATGTTGAGGTGCTACCAGGCGGCATTAAGCTGAAGATAAAAAAGCATTCAACGGGCATAAACTGTCATTCCTTATGTGAATTTCAAGTGGCATGCACGAAAATGAAGCTCAATGACATGAATTTTATTTTAGGGGCTGTAGCTAGAATTATGCCACAAGCTGTGAATCACTATAACAAAACGTGATCCATCAGCTTTATCTTTCAGCTACTAATCCAAAGAGGATAATATCCTGTAGATAATAGTCCCCCCCATTGCTTTTAGATTCCATATGACTGACTGTGTGCACTGATACACCTACAAATTCTGATTTTTCCTTCATAGGATTACTTCTGATGAATCCACATGCAGTCACCCCCTTCTTGGCCCTCAGTAATATCTGCTTCCTATACAATTTTAACCACCTTAAACATGCTAGATGACTAATTTTACTGGCAAGCTTGCATTACAACTATGGGTACATGCGTGAATTTGAAAAATTAAATTCTATAAAATTTAAGTCAAAAGCCTGCAAATCACATTGGGAAAAAAAAATGACTAAAAGACAAATTACCCAGAACAACTGGGCTGCTGGTCATCCACAGCAATCATTTGATTCTCCTCTGTAGACAGCTGGCTGGTTTCACTAGCACAGGCACTACCTTCAGGAGGCATATTTTCTTCCTGGTCATCACATTTAGCGAAAAATGAAGTAATAGGTTTCTGCCATGATGGTGTTGGACGAGGACAATATGGATTTCCCCCTGCATACTTGTTAACTTTTCCTGTAAAAAGAAATACATTTAAGTTAAAGCCTTATCAAAAAAAAAAAAAAAAAAAAAAAAAAAAAAAAAAAAAAAAAACTTACACTAACCCTTTCAAACCTATAACATTTTCAAGCATAGCCAAAAGAAATTCTTTTCAATTTGAGTTTTGAACCACTTAATGTAATCTCCTCGCAGTGTGAAAATTTTTGCATTCAGTGTGCCAGTTTATATTAAACTAAATGATGAGAATTACCAATACAACTTATCACTATTTGGTCGAAATAACATTTATACTTTCTTCCAAAGCTTTATTTCATAACCTTTTCTTATACACAGTTTTATCTTGAAACAAGTTTGGTGCTGAATTACATTAATTGCATATTTAAAATGCTTTCATATGCATCCTAAAAGCTTTTAAAATTCTAACCTGTACTGAGACTTTATTTTATGCTCAATTATTACCTTAGAAACTACAATTTAGAACATCTGTTCAACAAACATAACTTTAAAATATTCATAAGCTTACCAACTTTTATGCAATAATGAAATGTTAATTCCAAATCAGTTAATCATTTTATAGATGCTTTACTTAACAGAGTAGTATACCAATTGTCTTAACATGCCTGCACACTTATATTAGAAATAATAAACAAATACATAACAAATTAATAAGTTAATAAATCAACATTCAATTATGTGCTACAAGCAGCAATACTTGAAGGTAATATTGATAAATTAAATAAAAAATTTAAAACTTATACATACGAAACCTGGAGTAAGGAGTTATAAAAAAGTGACACAAACCATTGAAAAAATACTCAATATATAAAACAAATGTATACAGCACTGTAAATCATCAACATAATAAAGGAAATAAATAAAAATATATTGCATAAATGAAAATATATATATATATATATATATATATAAATCATAAATATGGCACAAAATAAGCATAAGGAACTTTCATCTCTCATACATTGTCTTTAGTTGATTAATGTTACAACAGAACCACCTTTTTTTTAGAACTGGTAATGACACTATTTTTTAAAATTTTTGAAATTTCAGTAAACTACAAATCAATTTGTGTCCTTGTCAGCCTACAAGTTGGAATAAGACTGGCATTTTGCCCAAATTCTTACAATCCCAAAAAACTGTTAAGATCCAAATAATTACATAAAAAGCATCAAAACCTTCAAATTGATTTAAATGAACAAATACAAATCAAGTCGAGCAGAATTTTTTTTAATACAAATACACACATAAAAATACTTAATACAGCAGAAATATAAATATTTTATTATATAATATTCAAGTTATTCATATTAAACAATTGCTCACCCCAGTAAATATGAAGTCAAAAATTGAGTCAAATAATAATTAAATTTGAAAATAAAATTAATAACTAAATTTGAAAACAACATAGGTAATAATAAATTAAAACCTCTGTAAATATTAAATCCATGCACATTCAAAGCACAGGGTTAAGTATATTCTAACGTGTACTATATTGCAAAACAATTTCAAGTGGAACTGATATTTACAAAATATTTAAGCCAAAATAATCTTTAATGTAGTGAACTTAAATTTAAAAAGAAGGGGGGAAAAGAGAGGGAAAAGCTTACCTATAATTTTGCAGCAGACCTTTCAACTGATTTGTAATGTGGAAGCAGGAGTATTTTTTTTAATCACACATAGTGGTAGTGTTTAATTTTCAAGAATAATTTTTCTTTAGTAAAAATAATCTTTAATGTGCTGTACCATATAAAATTAAAGGCTTAAGAAAATAAGTGAGTTACCAACCTAGAAAGACAAGATAATGCCATGGCAGTAAAAAATTCCCAAAAGTTTTTGCAACACCATCAGGTTATTTAATTCAGTTACTAGTAAATTCAATAATAACTTTGTTAAAGAAATTTCAAAAATCACTTTTGTCTTAAACCAGGACTTCTAGTACTTTGCAATTTTATAATTAACAGCTCCAGCTATGAAATTTGCATCGATACAACAAACTAGTTCTGTATATAATTAAATCTTTAGATTTAATTAAATACAGATCGCTTAAATCAGAAACTAAAAATATAAAGTACAGTAAAATACATTTTTGTAATTTTGACTTTTCCAACACTAATCGAGTATAACAGAAAATTAGGTAGCATCATTATTAACTAAACAGAGATCCAGTTATTGAGCCTCCTTGTTTGTGCCATGACCTTGAGTTATCAAAATTAAGTTGACCAACAGCACAAACACATTATTACTGGAGAAGCATAAACAAAAATTGAAGACAAATAGCTTAAAGAATTCATGAAATTTGGATTTAAATTGGGAATTAGTCAGGGTTTGTACACATTTCTTTTGTAATACCATCCTAAGAATAAACGAGATATGTAAGTAGGATGCATTATTATTAAACACATAACCTAATTTTAACAGAATTAAAACACTTTGTAAAATTTATCAAGCAGCTTTAAATATTTTACACTTATAATAGCTAGACATATTTTAAAGAAGATCAGCAGCATTTTACACTCACTTCCAAAAGTTAAGCACGAAGATGTAAATTGCAAAAAAATCAACAAATACTGCTTTGATTGACACAAAATTCGGCAGAAAAGTAGCATATATATTTATGCATAAAACAAAATCAATAATTATATACAGAAATGAAAACAATATTAAATTTTTGTAAGCTATCAGATAATGACATACTGGAGACTTAAACAGAATTATGTATAAAATGAAACTAAACAGCATAAAATTTTTAAAAAAAGGACATTAATAGGGTATGTGATCCCCCTTCATCTGTATACAAAGTTTACACCTTGTGACCATGCTTTCAATTAGGTGGTCAACCACCGCAGAATTAAACAATTGGCATTCATCTTGTACAGCAGTTTGCAGCTCAATAAGAGTAGCTGGAGGTGGGAAACATGAAGATACAGCACGGCCAAGAGCATCCCAAAGATTTTCAACGGGATTAAGGTCAGGCAAATACGCTGGCCACCCCATACGTGCAATCCCTTCACTCTCCAAGTAGTCATCGACAATGTCAGCTCTATGGGGACATGTGTTATCGTCCATTAAAACAAAAGTAGGGCCAACTGCTGCAACGTACAATCTCACAATGGGTTCTAGGACTTCATCTCGATACCGGACAGCCGTCAAAGAACCCCGTTTAAGGATGTGCAGGTCGGTGCGGTATCCTAATGAAATCCCTGCCCACATCATAATGCTTCCGCCTCAGGAATGATGCGTGATGTTCGGTGATGTTTTAGGACTGATTGCGTGATTACATGTTCGCTGTTCACGTCATATCCTTATACGCTTGTCATCTGGCTCCAGAGCAAATCTTGACTCATCAGTAAACCTGACATTGCTCCAGTCGGACACATTCCAATTGACATGTTCCCGGCACCACTGCAATCATGCCCCTCTTGACTGGATGGATAGAGGAACACAAACTCGAGGTAACTGGGCTTACAGTTCACTCATATGTAATCTTCGGCGTACAGTAGCTGCTGATATCGCCTTACCAATGGACACTGTAACCATAGATGTCACATGTGTGGAGGTCACTCTGCGATTCCGGTTGGCTACAATAGCAATATATCGATCCTCCACGGGGGGTTGTAGCCCTTAGGCAACCAGCTACGGCCTTCAGACAACTGTCTGTGTGGTTTGAAATTGTTTCCATAAATGTGAAATTACAGAATGATGAACGTGAAATTACAGAATGATTCTGACATAAAATACATTAACATTTAATTGGATATTATAAATTTTATATTTTTTAAGCTAACTTTAACTAATTTTTAAAATTTTATTACATTTTTATACTAAAAATTCCCAAAAAAAATAGCATCTGTTTGTTTGACTTTGCTAAGTATTTTTTAATACAGTCAAAAGTCGTTAATTCGGACACCCATAATCCGGAACTCAAATCTAAAAACTTCATGCGCATGCGCCGCGTTGACACATGTGCATAGGCGTTTACGCGTGCGCGCAAGACTTTTACGACTGCGCATATGCGTGTGCGCAAGCGCAGAATACGTTTTCGCGTGCGCGTTTAATGTATAACGGACGGTATAAGCTAAAATTATCTAATTATCTATTTCAGTTAATGTTGATGATTGCGTTGTTCCTTAATCTTTGAATTGGATGTGGCTGATTATTTTTTGCAGACTGTAAGAGCAATTTTATAAAAGTAAACTTGAACTTTCGATTATGTCAAATAGAATTTCCAATGCTGGAGCTCCCAAAGGATCTACAAAACGAAAGTATGTTTCGATGTCCGTCAAACAAAAAATGGAATTGCTGCAAAAAATGGATAAAGACATGAAGGTGACAGAGAGGTTAGTGAAAACGAAAGAATTTCGATTGACAAGTTAGTCGGTATTCTCGGCACAGCAATTACGGGACTTGAACAGCGAAACTTTGTAACTGAACAAGAAATTATGTCTGTTTGTAGAATTAAAGAGAAAGTATTATAACATAAAACGAAGCAACTTAAACAACTTACATTGAAAGAAATGTTTAATAAAGTAAACAAATAAATATTAAGCTTTTTTTTTTTTTTTTTTTTTTTTTTTTTTTTTTTTTGTAAATTTTGATACCCTTTAGATCATAATTGTTCTTTATTTCATAAATTACGGTTTCATATTTTTAATTTTAGAATTTCTGCATGCCATCTTACGAGATTTAAACTGATGATCTATCATCCGGAAAAATCGATAATCCGGAATCGCTGAAGTCCCGACGAGTCCGGATTAACGACTTTTGACTGTACCATGAAAATAAAATTAATAAATATAGTACATAGCATTTGTGTGGATAAATTTAGTAATGTACTGTTACATTTTTCTGTATGTACAGGCTTGTGGATTTGGACTTAATAACGACGACATTTGATAAAGTATCAAAATGCAATTTATTAACCAGTATTACTCAAGACAGCTCCAAATTCATGTTTACAGTCATCGAAGAACTACTATAAACACGGCGAAACAATCAGCAAC